ATAATCGGATTACGGTGTCTGAATTATTGCCCTTTGACTTAATAAAAAAACGCTGGTGGCTTATGGCTGGTATGCACGATAAAGACTACTGTTTCAAAATATCCATCAGTCCGTAACAAGCCCAATGTGCCAAAAGGGACGGCCGCATTTATGGAGGGCAATAGCTGATAGAGACTGATCTTGGAATAGGGATTTCATAGAGGAAAGGGATTTTACGTCAAAGATAGAGTCGTCTAAGCTCTTTCAATATTACAAATCAATTTTCATAAATTGATGTCGTTTTTTTTGTAAAATAGCAGATATTGTGAAAATTGTTACAACTCGCCCCGATCACCCCTACCTGTATATAATAGTCATATTGCTACTGTGGGTTTCGTTCGGACCATTCGATATATGGCCTAAATAGTCGGGCATTTTCCATATCAGTCCCAAATTTATTCTTCATATTTCAAACAATTTATGAGGCTTCCCGAAAGTTTTTCGTTTTCTTATTATTATTTATTATTATTATGATCGGCATGAAAATTAACGTAACATTTTATTTTTGGCAGTTATTCCCCTTTTCACAAAATGGTGGGTAAACTTGTATAATTATTTCCTAATGTTTTTTTTGTAATTCGGTGAAGGTTTACACATGTTTTTGTGAATTGAATAGATTTTGCGAATACATCGTTAGCAATGCCTGTACTATTCTAAAAGGCTCAATTACTCAGAGTATACAGTAGGGCTTTGCATCTTTTTTTCATGTGTATCAATCGAATGTAGACAGTGTTCACGTTGAGGAAGTCGACAGCTAACCCCTTCTGCAATGCTAGTCTAGTTTAGCTAAAACAGAGCTCTCAATGACTTCCTATTGCAAAACATATGGTGGTTTCATTTACATTAGACCAGATTTATTCGATTAAATTTCCACTTCAAGCATAGAACAACATGTCTGAATTAAAGTCAATCAATATTAACAACTGGTCATGTTTATTTATCAGAAATTTTAAATTGATTGGCGTAGAGAGAAAATTATGACAATTTCTCTGTCTTTTTCTTGAAAGCTATCAGCAATTTGATTGGCTGTTAAGTTGTCAAGGTCATAAACTTTCAAAGCAATTGTCTTCCAAAAACTTGATGTCTTAGCTATTTTTTAGACTAGTGCTGGACCAATTAATTTTGTTTTTTTATTTCACAGTTAAAAAGATGAAAATTTGCTTCAAGTTTTATAAATTCCTGATACTTTGATGAGATCCAAATGGCGAACACCACACTTTGCACAGACACATCTGAAGCTACAGAATTATATGGGCCAGGCCATCTATATATTAAACCAATAGCCAAACTGAATATATGTGTACAGTTACCTCAGTTAAAAGGACCATCAGGAAAAGCTATATCTAATTGGGAGGTGATGGAACGTATCAAACATATGATCACACCAGAGACTTTTATCACACTCAAAATTGTTAAGAGCACTCTAGAATTCATTAGGCTAGAAGGGGAAATAGAAAATAAAGGCAAAATCAAACTTTTGATAGCCAAATTGGATACCAAAATTTTAAAGTTAAGTGGCTTCACAGAAGTTCTGAAAATGCGAGCAGCAGAAGCCAAAATAAACTTTCCATCCAAGCATGATTGGGATTCCTATTTCCGTGATGCTAAAAACATGAATGAAATGAAAGCTGGTGAAAGACCTGACTGTATCCATTTAAAAGATCTTCCAACACGCTGGTTTGCATCAAACAGCTCTTCAGACAAAGACAAGCCTAGTGAAACCACATTACGGAGAGTTTTTGAAGTTTTTGGTGAAGTGAGGTGTGTAGACATTCCCATGCTAGATCCATATCGACGTGAAATTATAGCAGCCACAAAACCTGGTGGTATTCAAACATTTAATTATAACCAGGGCCTGACATTTGATTGTTTTGTACAATATAAAGAGTATATTAGTTTTATGAAAGCTATGGATGCTCTGAGAGGTATGAAGTTAATGTTCAAAGATGGCGACAAAGCACTGACAGCAAATATAAAGGTAACATTGAACAGTGCTAATTGTCATATTTTAGCAGTTTAGAAATGGTTCTCTATTATATCAACTTAGCAGATCAGATATAAATTAGACACTTTACTTTAAAGGTATACTACCTCTTAGGATGACAAAAAAATAAAGAAAAATTATACTTGGTTAAAATGAGTCTTAGTTCATCATTGAACTTACTGTTGTCAAAACTTTACAACAGAATTCAACTTTACTCCAATAAATGAATAAAACTAAGTAATAATTCATGAAACTAAGTAATTTTGGAACATCTTTAGCAGTGTTTTTTCAATAATTAATTAGTTTCATGTATACAGTGTCGTGTATGAGATTCTATTCTTTAGTCCAACTAATGGACAATACACTTATTGAGCAATTTCGAGACTTTAAATTACATGTCCATTCTAAGAGGTGGTATTCCTTTAAGTATTTGTTTCCAAACAAGAGGCCACAAAAAGTAACTTTGTGCATTATCGCATACAAGTGGTACATATTGAATGATCTTGTGTGAAAATGAAAGATGCATTTAAGTTTGAAGAAATATAGATAATAATAGGTAAGATTAGAGCCATTTTTATGCTCAGCATCCTTTGAACTTGAGGACTTCTATAGGTAGGGCTGGGCGATATACCGGTATCACGATAAATACCGGTATAGGAATTTATATTGTTAATAATATCACCTGATTAAAAAATACAGAAATATCGCCATATTGTGATATATCATAGTTATCATGATATTTTTGTCAAGATAAGATCATCTACACAATTTTAACAAGTAACTTAATATTTGAAACACATGTTTTTTTTTCATGATATTTATTGTTAATGTTACATTTAATATAAGTAGATCATAATTTTGTTTCAAAAACCAGTAAAAAACAAACTTAAACTTATCGTGATATATACCTATATCGCGATATATTAATGCTTAATATTCTCCAGGCCCTATCTATAGGTTTGCAGAAGATTTTTTTTCTGAACAAACTTTGCTGTGTGTTATTTTATGTGAGCTTTTTTTTTTAGGTTGACTTTGACAAAACGAAGCATCTGACTGATAAAAACATCCGAAAAAGAAGATTAGAAAGGGAAAAGCTGGAAGAACTAGAAAGATTACGAGAGGACAAAGTTCGGAAGGAAAAAGAAGCAGAAGAAAAGAAAGAAAGAGAAGAAAGGTACAGGATTCTGGGAGCTGACTACCCCACAAGATTTGTTACCTTCCATAGAACTACTGGTTAATTAAAATTTAAGTATTTTTTTTCTTTGTAATATAAACTACATTTTCAAATATGTCTAAATATTTGCTTTACAAGCTGATATCTATCTGTATCACCTATCAGAATTAGAACCTAAAGTTTAAGGTTCTTCTGCAATTATGGAAAATGTACATTGGCAGAAATCAACCAAGGTCTTTATTTTCGAGTGATATTTATGAAACTAAGTTAAACTTTTTTGTTTCTCAAAGTGGACATATTTGGATGTGATCTACTTCCTATCTTTTAAATTTTTGAAAGCAGCTGATTAAGCAAATATCTATTTCTATTACTATATCTATTTCAATTCTGCAAAACTTTTCTTAATATTTCCTTTCGCAGTGAAGAAAATTCAGTTTTTGTGAACGCCCAATGACCTTGAATATATCATCTTCACTGATATTTCCAGTCGATCCAGCTGTAAATGGATCTGGATAATCTAGGAAAAATCAATGCCAGGAGGTTAAGCCAAGGACCAGCTGGTAGAAAAGATCCTTTATTGTGAGCCTAAGATGTTATCCTCATAAAATACACTGTAGTTATTTCTTGCTTTTCTCATTTTGTAACATTCATTTAATTCATTCATTCTATTTTCTTCAGACAAAAGAAAGAAGAAGAGGAAAGAGAAAAGGAAAGGAGAAGGTTGGATAAAATTAAAATCAGAGAGGCTAGACAAAGAGAGAGGGAAGAAATTAGAAGGAGAAAGAAATTAGAGAAGAAGAAACGAGAAGAAGAAGAGCGAATGCAGTTAAAGATAGCTCTAGAAGAACGAAAGTTTCTACTAGCTGAAAGAAAGTTACAGTCTATACATCTGTTATCAGTATTATTTGATAGAGTAAAGGTGAGAATTTGAATTTTAGGTTGCTTAGTTATAAATTCTTGCTATTCAACCACTTTAAGTAAATTTAAAGGGACAGATGCGGTCAATTCTTCAGATGTACTAGAAATGTACGAAAAAATTGCATAATTCCTTCAAAGATATCTCAAACTAGGAATTTCTTTTCCTATTTTATATAATGTCTTTTCTACAGGCAGTGTCTCATAAAAAAGAAAACTTGCCTTTTTACGAAAAATTCTTGACACACATGGATTTGTAGGCTCAAATTTTGTCGATGAGCTGTGAAAACTATTACTGATTTGCTTAGCTAAAAAATTCCATTTAATGAGACTAAGGTATGATTGGTCAAAAAAATGGCGTCCGTTTAAAAGGGGCTTCAGAAATGGATGCTGCGATGTTTGATATTTATAATTTTAGAACATATTTCAATATCATTTTGTAAATATAAAATTAATAAATAATAGAAATAATTCAATTATATTTGTATACATGTGCTTTTAAGTAGCTGACAGTATCAACCCTACGCGTCTTTCAGTTTAATTAGAATTAGACCCAACTTTCGTTTCGTTTTTTTTATTAGTTTTTTTTTAGGATAGCCACTAGGGTCTCAAATAACCTTTTGACCTCACCTGATAACATCTACTTTAATTAGACTGCTCTTTCAGGAAATCAAATGTAAAGAAGATTTGAAAAAGAGAGAGAAAGAATTAGAAGATGAGCGATTGAGACAAGTGAAAGAAGAGGAAGAACAAATGAAGAATGAAGTGAAACGAAAAGCTGAAATGAAGAAAAGGAAAGCGATTGAGTTGGAAGAACAAGAGAGAGAATTGCGAGAAAAAATTTTGAAGAATATGGAAGTTAAGGAACAGCAAAGGGAAGAAAAAATGCGCGAAGAACTTAGAAAAAAAGTCGCCGGAACAAAACGGTTAAAAAGTGCTGTGATTATGAAAAGAACATTAGATGATGTGATCAAAGAACGCTGATTTTAATGTGATTGAAAAATTGGATTTTTTAATTTGTTATTTAAAATGAATACATTTGATGTATTTGGAATCTGATATTCTTGTATTTAGAATCCAACTGACCCTGAACAGTGTACCATGGTGAATCAAACAAATCAGTGGTCACAAATAGAACTATACTGTGGGTAACTTGTGTAATTAGTATTAAGTAGCAATAATAAGCCATACCTCTGTCTAAGGCCAATTTTCATCAGCCTCTGATGTATTAAAATAATCTAAATTTTGCCTGTTGATTTTAGCCTTCAATATATGTAAATAGTCTTCAGAAATACTAGAAATGTACGAAAATCGCATAATTCCTTTAAAAAACTTCAACTAGGATTTTTACTTACTGTTCCTATATATGTCTTTTCTATATATCACAAAGTCTATTACTGAATGCCTGTTTCAGAGACTAAAGAAAAAAAATGGCACACTGTCCCTTTAAGCACTAATGAGCCTATTTCACATCACAAGAATCAAGAAAGCCTGAGAATGACAAATTAACATTATGTGATTTCAGAAACATCACTACTGACTTGATTTCCATTCTGTATCACAAAATGAAGTCATTGAAACGCTTTTCAAAACATGGTGATGTCTAAAATGAAATTCCATGAAAGAAAAAATTTATCTTCTGTAAAAAGACTGAAGTCATGATTTTAAGTGATGGTTTGTTTTTAAGTTTTATATGTTATGTGCTAAAAAAGCCTCTTATTTTGAATACGATTTCATTTTATAAATGTTTTATTTGTTGAAGTTCCAAACTTAAAAGATTTATAATTATTTAAGACTTGCTACTCAGTCTACAAGGTGGGTTGCCTCCAGATTGAGCTATTGAAGAATTTAGGCATCGAGGAAAATTTTGCCAAGACAGCAGAATTAGCTAATTTTTTTTTCAATTTCGATTTTATATGTAGTTGCTATTCGCATGATTCAAATTTCCTGTCTGATGTCTGTGGTTCCTATAATTTCAGAATACATGTTCAGATGGTGAATCCATTCAAATTATCCACAGACATAAACAGGACATCTAAATGGTGCTTGTAGAAAATGTGTTCATGATGCACATAGAACATCTTCACAATGTCAAGCTATTTCGAGCTTCGTTCTATACCTTGACTTCAATAGCAACCTTTCTTGTATCTCAAAATGCAGCGAATTGATTGGATTGTATGCCACCGAATACAGTCATTCATAGACCCCGACAGACAGACTGAAAATATTATGACTTATTGTTGATTTTTTCATGAATTTTGATTGGCTGTATTCTCTGGCATACAATCCAACCAAATACCGGTAGCTACCTGGATAAGAAGCTAAGAAGGGTGGCTATTGCTGTCAAGGTATGATATGAAGTTTGTAACAACTTGACATTGTGAAGATGCACCTACAAAGGATAGAAAATTTCATCCTTATGTAAGGACTATGATAATTTTGTACAAATGAAAAGAATGATAATAATTTGAGTATTTTAAATAATTTGTTTGTTTTTTCAATAAAAATAAAGTTAAAAGAATTCGTTTTCTCTTTCAAGAGTGTTCATAACTAGTAACTGAACTATTTTTTTCCCTGAATTGAAACACAGTCATACTTTTCTGCTCCTGATTTTGCTTTTGAAGATTGGATATGCCATAAAGTGTGCAATGAGGAAAATTTTGTCTGAATATAAGCAATAACCGATTTTTGCTGATGGTTAGAGAGGATTTAGAAATTTAAATCCGCCCAATCCCACTGTTCATAACTTTTAGCCAAATTCTTAGCATGGATCTACTTAACAATGAGCGATTTATTTGTAGTCTGAAGCTTAGGCTATTTAGTAATCCGAATGTCTTACTAAAAAAATCAACCGTTCTAAAGACTAAAATATGCATTTATCTATTAAATGAATTATAAAGAGTATAAATAGTAATACCTGAAATATCATGTCTATAGGCCTAAGTATATTTTTTTTTATTAATAAGAAAGAAATAATTACCTTTCCAAATGATAATTTGTTTCGGATTATTAGGGGGAAGTAACTGTCAAAGTAGTAAGGACTGGTCAATCGAGATTTCAGAAGATTTAAGTATGAATAGGTGTGTTAAAATTTATAGTTTTGATGTAATTTCACATCAGTTATGCAACAATTAATGTCTTAACAGCTTAATATATTTCTATAGGAATTGCTAGATTTTGTGGTTGACTTTCTTTAATGAAGGAAGGACCTAATTTCGTCATTTTTACCGGCGTTGATTTTTGTTTATGTAACAGTGAATATTAAGACCTATTGAAGGAACGTAATGTCAACAACTACGGTACAAGACCAGATCTGATGATGTTAGTAAGATACTTTTATCCATTGACAGTTTTGATTTGTGATAAGATAGTATCATGATTGATTCTTAGTAGGCCTAGCTAGATTGTGCTTGATAAATGGTACCCGCTATTATATTAATCATAGAATTGTTTACTATTGCAGTCAAAGTATGTAGAATGAATTAACTTAAAGATAGAATATAATAAATAATGGGAGATTTAGAAGAACAACAGGATGAATTGTTGGCTTTAGAAAGTATTTATGACTCCAGTGTCCTGTCAATCATAAATGAAGCAGATGATAAGGGTGGACAGTTTGATGCCAAGCCACATCTACCAGAACCATTTTACATACAATCTGATCCTATTGAAAAAGGTTGGTAAATCTCAGAGCTCTGTTTGTTGTAGAAAATGCGAACTAAACTTGTAGTTGGCTTAAAACTAAGGGTCTGAAATAACTACTGGTATGTCTGAAATCTTTACAGTCGTATTTGAGCTCCACTGTTTCTTTACTATTGCTTTTCTCTCTGGAACACCTGCAGCCACTTAGGGACTGGGTTTAGCACTAAGCATTTAATCCCTGCTTAGGCTTAGAGTGAAATGATAGCTTATTATTAACAACTGTCAGTAATGCAGTTTGGAGGAAATTACATGAAAAGCATGGTTGGAGATATTAAACCATGGTCATCTGCTGTACACTGTATGGTGTCTGTTAAAATTTATAAAAAAAAGTAGGCTAATGCATAAGGACTAAATTTATCTCATTGCACACTGCATGGCATTGTCCGTCTCCATGTGATGTTATTGTCTTATTTCAGATTCCAAAGAAGACAATTTACAGAAGATCCAGTATTTACCTCCAGTGACCTTGAACTTTCAACTACCTATAGATTATCCTTCCACATCTTCTCCAGAATTCACTCTAACTTGTAAATGGTTGACACATAAACAGGTATTTGAATTTTAACTATCATAAAACTAGTGTTACCGGTACTAATTTCCCATCAATCAGCCTGCTTCACCCTGGCTCTACATATACATAGATAAAGGGTTAGTCAATGACTATTTTAAAGATGGGTTCCATTATTTTCATTTATGAAAATGGAAATGCTAATTCTTATATGAATAGAAAGTAGAGGTGTTCTAATGACTTGGAAAAATACCAGTTCGTCTCACATGTCCATAATTAATTCATTATTAGCTAAATTAGAAGAGAAAAACCAGCAGAATTCGAATGAGTGACCAATCAAGAAAGGTCAAAAAGACTTTTTTTTGTTTATCTAGACTGTACATACATGAACATTTCAATTGGTGAAAATTTCTTATTATATGCAATAAGAACATAATGAAATGATTAAGAATTTACATGATAATTCATTGAAAACACCAATTAATCAAATAGTTTGCTTAATTTGACACTAAGAAAATATGGAAAACCATCTTTAAGGCTAGGTTTGTCTACTTTTTGGAGGAAGTAGACTGTGAATCCAATCCATTTGCTGATCAGATGCTTCCCTATCGAAGATCAATTTTTATACGCCAACACATAAGATGGGCGTATATTGTAATCACCCTGTCGGTCTGTCCGACGGTCAGTCCGTTGGTCCATCCGTTGGTCGATCCGTTCACATTTGGGTCGTGCTCACTCTACAGGCTACAATTCTTAACAGATTTTTTTGATTTTGTTGAAACTAGCTATGAGATCTCAGTAAAGCTTGAAATTAGTAAAAATTGGATGATTACATATTAAACCACTACAGACATTGTTATCATTTCTGACAGTGTGTAGTGGGCGTATGTTACCTTGCCTGGCAAGCTATCTTTGTGTAAAGTAGTTCTCATCCAATTTTCATTCCTCAAATGGTTTGAATTTCATATGGTTTTCACAAATTATTGTGTGATATTGCTTGACTTGATAATTAAAAATTAAGAAATTTGGGTACTTATATAAGCTTACTTACTGATGACATAGTAAATGATTTATTTATTTTATGATAATTTTTATATTTGAATTGCTTTATAAGGACAATATTATGATTATAGCAAATTTATGTTGTGGCCGTACATTTCCTTGTGATTTCCTCTTTCCAGTTATCTAAAGTCTGTAAAAGATTAGATGAACTATGGGAAGAAAATACAGGTACTGTGATATTGTTTACGTGGATAAACTTTTTACATGAAGAACTTTACGATTTCTTGCAATTATCATCTCCATTAGATATCCGGAACATTGTTTCTAATAGGACTGGAAAGTCAGTGACTACTTCTAGTTCTTCCAGTGTGATAGATAAATCTTGTGATTTAAGGTGTATTCAAGACATCGAAAGTCAAGATTGGTTACTGGTAGCCATCTTGGACTATGATAGTCAAATGAAAACTGACGTTTTTAACAAGTCGGTGTTTTTATGTAATGTGTGTTTTCAAACGAAGCCAGGGTCGTCGTGTTTTCAATTCAATCCGTGTTGTCACATATTTTGCCGTGAGTGTATGAGAGATTATTTTGAGATACAAATTGATGATGGTAATGTTCAAGGATTAATTTGCCCTCATGATAAATGTGAGTCTGAGGCCCATCCCTGTCAGGTGAGTGTCACTTTATCAATAAAGGCCTATACCAATTGTTATTTTTTAAAAAAGAAAAGCGCTTAAACAAAAAAAATCAGTGATTAACAAAGATAATCAGAAGTAAGATACTTAAGTTTGCCTTAAGGCATTGCCCTAGAGCTGGGCAATATTGGTTCAAGTGATTATCGTATTTTTTTTAATCTTAAATCTTATATTTAAGAAAAAAACAATACTCTAAGAAACACCCCAGAATATTTTGAAAAAAAAACATCTTTTTCAAATATGAAGTTACTGGTTAAAACTGATTCTGATTTTTCTGATTTGAGATATATATCATTGAAAATATACACCAAACTATAATAATGACACCTTTATGTATGTCTTACTTCATCAATATATTACATACAAGTATCATACATACAACATGGCTGAGTGATGCTTGATACTGCGCATGTCACATTAATATTCATGTTACTCATTAATATTCATATCTTAACATCATTACTACCATTATAATATCGCCTAGCCATACATTGCCCCTTGACCCCATTTTGCTCCGCTCACTTTATTTTGTGATTTTGAGCCAGCACTCAATTTCTTTTTGCTTAAAGCTTATGGTTAAAGTAGGTTCAAACAAGAGAAAAGAGCTGACAAATGAAATGGCCATCCCCAACCAATGGCATCTTCACTGCGTTTTTACCTCTACTGTAATAGCTACTATTCTTGTTTCCTAGAAGTTGCAATACTGTGATTTGATAGCGAATACACTCAATCAGAATTCTCTACATAAAGTCTGTAAACTATTAACCATAATGTTTACGGAGGGCTCTGATTGGCTGTATCTGGTGTACAATCCAATCAAATCACTGCTTTGTATGATACAAGTGGCTATGGCAGACAAGGTATAAGACAAAATTCGTGACAGCTTGACATTGTGAAGATGCAACCATGGTTGATATGAATTTCTCTCTGCTTCATGATGTTGAACTTGGATCTTAATTATGGTGATGTTTGAACCTTTTTTCAGGTAAAAAATTTAGTGCCAGAAGAAAAATATAGTCGCTATGATGAATTGCTGTTATCTTTAAGTTTAGATATGATGATGGACATTATGTATTGTCCACGTCGACTCTGTCAGTGTCCAGTCATGTTAGAAAAGGACTGTAATATTGGTCAGTGTCCATCCTGTCAGTTTGTCTTCTGCCGATTATGTAAATTAGTTTACCATGGATTAACTCCCTGCAAATTAAAAGCTAGTAAGTATAACTTAGGTTTTGGAGAATGGAGCATTTTGAAATTTGTTTTTAATTATTTTAATTCTGAGAGAAGATTTTAATTCTGAATTTTTTTTTAAATTATTTTAATTCTGAGAGAAGATTTTAATTCTGAATTTTTTTTTTCAATTATTCTAATTCTGAGAAGATTTTAATTCTGAGAAGATTTTAATTCTGAGAAGATTTTAATTCTGAGAGAAGATTTTAATTCTGAAATTTTTTTTTTAATTATTTTGATTCTGGGAAGATTTTAATTCTGAAATTTTTTTTAAAGTATTTTGATTCTGAGAGAAGATTTTAATTCTGAAATTTTTTAAAAATTATTTTGATTCTGAGAGAAGTTTTTAATTCTGAAATTTTTTTAAAATTATTTTGATTCTGAGAGATGATTTTAATTCTGAAATTTTTTTCAAAATATTTTGATTGTGAGAGAAGATTTTAGTTCTGAAATTTTTTTTTAATTATTTTGATTCTGAGACAAGATTTTAATTCTGAAAATTTTTTTGAATTATTTTAATTCTAAGAGAAGATTTTAATTCTGAATTTTTTTTTTTAATTATTTTAATTCTGAGAGAAGATTTTAATTCTGAAATTTTTTTAAAATTATTTTAATTCTGAGAGAAGATATTAATTCTGAAATTTTTTTCAAAATATTTTGATTCTGAGAGAAGATTTTAATTATGAATTTTTTTTTTTAATTATTTTGATTCTGAGAGAAGATTTTAATTCTGAAATTGTTTTAAATTATTTTAATTCTGAGAGAAGATTTTAATGCTGAATTTTTTTTCAAAGTATTTTGATTCTGAGAGAAGATTTTAATTCTGAAATTTTCTTCAAAGTATTTTGATTTTGAGAGAAGATTTTAATTCTGAATTTTTTTTGAAAGTATTTTGATTCTGAGAGAAGATTTTAATTCTTTAATTTTTTTCAAAGTATTTTGATTCTCAGAGAAGATTTTAATTCTTAATTTTTTTTTTTTGATTTTTTTGATTCTGAGAGAAGATTTTAATTCTTAAATTTTTTTAAAATTATTTTGATTCTCAGAGAAGATTTTAATTCTAAATTTTTTTTTGATTATTTTGATTCTGAGAGAATATTTTAATTCTGAAATTTTCTTTTTAATTATTTTGATTCTGAGAGAAGATTTTAATTCTGAAATTTTCTTTTTAATTATTTTGATTCTGAGAGAAGATTTTAATTCTGAAATTTTTTTTTATTTTTTTGATTCTGAGAAGATTTTAATTCTGAAATTTATTTAACATTATTTTGATTCTGAGAGATGATTTTTAATTCTGAATTTTTTTTTTAATTATTTTGATTCTGAGAGAAAATTTTAATTCTGAAATTTTTTTTAAAATATTTTAATTCTGAATATTTTGATCTTGTAACATTTTAAGTCTGACATATATTTATTCTGATCTACTTATTTATAGATGAATTGAAAACTTTGAAAGATGAATATGAAAATGCGGACAGTGAAGGCAAAAAGCTTTTAGAAAAGAAGTATGGTAAAAGAATAATTGAGCAGGCTTTAGAAGAGAGTATAACTAGAGAATGGCTAGAAAACTACACCAAACCTTGTCCTGCTTGTGGCTTTCATATTGAGGTAATATTTAATCTTAGTCAATATTAAATCTCAGACCTTCATTTTTCCTTCAAATCATGAGCTTATAAATCAACGATCACTCTGCATTTAGAAAAAGAATCATGTTCATCAGTTTCATTAGGGTATAGCTGTTACATAACATTACATTCGAGTTCTCTTTTGATTATAGAAAGCTGACGGATGTAACAAGATGACTTGTACCAAGTGTAAAAACTATTTCTGTTGGTTATGTGGTGACTCCCTATCCCGAACCAACCCCTACAGTCATTATAACATCAAGGGACCCTGTACTAATCGCCTGTTTGAAGGAATGGAGAATGAATTTGACTTTGATGATCCTAATTTTGATTGGTTTTAAAAGTATTTTTTTTTTCGTTGCATTTATTTATTATCTGCTACATAATTTAAAGCAGGAGTTTTCAACCTGGGAAAGGGATGAGGGTAGTATTGAAAAAAATTTTTAAGCTTAATTTATGGAAACTGGATATTGAATTTTAATTCTGAAAGCTTTAATTGAACTCAATAAACTTATTAAGCCAATCTATAGTTGACTGTATCACTGTCATTTCTGGCTAGAGTTCTGTATGTGTATGGCCTTCAATTTGCAATTGTACATATTATATTTTGTGTAGATCACATTTCCATGTAAAATATAAACTTAGCAGGGATTACAAATTGAAAATTTAGAACAAGATTTATTTTGTAATAATTTGGAATGTTAGCTGTGATTTTTGCTATGTGATAATCTTTTGTGATTTGAATGTGACATAAGTAATTGTGTGCGATTGAATGTGACATAAGTAATTGTGTGCGATTGAATGTGACATAAGTAATTGTGTGTAATTCAAATTCGATAATAGTAGTTTTGTGTGTGATTGAATTGTGTGGAATTTTGGAGTTACTTGAAATGTTAGCTATGATTTGTGATAATCTTTTGTGATTTGAATGTGACATAAGTAATTGTGTGTGATTGAATGTGACAATAGTAATTGTGTGTGATTTAAATCTGACAGTTAGCAATTGTGTGTGATTTGAATCTGAGAATAGAAATTGTGTGTTATTTGAATCTGAGAATAAAAATTGTGTGTGATTTAAATCTGACAATAATGATTATGTGTGATTTAAATCTGACAGTAGTAATTTTGTGTGATTGAATGCTACCTTCATAATTGTGTGTGATTTAAATCTGACAATAATGAATATATGTGATTTAAATCTGACGATAGTAATTGTGTGTGATTCAAATCTTAGAATAATAGTTATGTGTGACTTAAATCGGACAATAGTAATTATGTGTGATTTAAATTTGACATAAGTAATTGTGCATGATTTAAATTTGACATAAGTAATTGTGCGTGATTTAAATCTGGCAATTGTAATTATGTGTGATTTAAATCTGGCAATAGTAATTATGTGTGATTTGAATCTGACAATAGTAATTGTGTGATTTATAATTCACAATATTGTGTTTAATTTGAGTGTGACATAAGTGTGATTTACATTGTTTATCTCACCAAATTGAATTCATTGAAATGATAGTGATTCTAAAGAGGACACTGTATCTCTTTGAAGATGTATTCCAACATTGGCAGACTGATTGTCTGCAAAAAATTATCAGAATTCCTTTGAAAAGGAAAAGAAACATCACAAGGATTAAAATTATCTTTTGGTATTTCAGTAAATTTTTATTGTGCCGAAGTTTGGCTTTGGGAATGTAGGAAATTTTTATTTTGGGTTCATTTTTGATTTCCTGTTTGATGTAGGAGATACTAAGTTTGTTGTTGTTTTGATTAGAACTTGCATTTTAAGGTTAACTATTTCAAAATTTTTATTTTTTCTAATTGGGCTTCAATAAAGTGACATTTTGAATGGTGTAGGTCTAATTGTAATTGCAATAAACTTCACACTCTTGTCACCTGATTTCACTCTCCTTTTGCAGAATGCAGACATTACTTATGTAAACATAAAAGTAATTAATAACCATAATAATGCTTATAATAACTTTACTTATTTCATTGTATAGATTTATAATTGTTGATTTTGCAAATTCTGGATACAAATTGTACAGCTGGTTCGACATTCAAAACTTTACTCTTCAAAATGGGCAACAGATAGGAAAAAGGGCGACAAAAAAAATGCACATATGATGGGGCTGTAATCTCGATGAAGTTGAAGAATATTTTGTTATAATTATATATTAATTTTATTTGTATATAATGGGTTTAGGGGTAGTTTATGGTCAAATTATCGAATTTTTATACACTAACTACCATTGCTGTTCTTATTTAAGCCCAATTCAATTTTTATTTTCATCACCTATTTAATGTTCGATGAATTCGTATTAATTTAACAAATTTCCAATAAATATGGTTGAATTCTTATTTTTCAGGAGTGTTCATGATTTATCATATTCATTTTCAAAGGCTTATCAATCAAGTTTATTATCAAAATAAGCTTATTAAAGTGAAGAAAGATTTTATTTTTTATTTTATTTTTTCTGAATTCAGTTTGTTCCTGTTTCTGTAAAATTAGCTGCACAAGGGAGCTCATTTCTTGAATTTATGGAACCATGTCGGTGAAATGCTTTTCATAATGCTATAGAATACGACAATAACTTAATTATTGCTTCTTGAATTTTGAGCATCTGGAGGACTGGATTTTCACTTCCAATTAAGACCTTTCACAGGTCTGAGAGGGATTGGGGCGTGATCGGAAAATTCCCCCCAAAATACGCCATATTTTTTGCAGAATGATGACTGACATCATATAAATTTGACCAGAATAACGAAAATGCGAACTTTTAAGTGAGTTGCGAACCATATCCATGTTCGCTGTTCTGATACAGAAAAAAGGTATTACTTCAACCCTTGTTTAAAGTACGCTTTCAGTAAAGAAATCTTCGTACAAATACAACCAAGCAGATACAGTGGATCAAAACGAAAATTTTTATATTTAATATCACTTTATTGTATTAAGTCATGTTCGATGCAATCACGCAATCCCAGTTTACCATATCAAGGTTTATCTGAAACAAAATAAAAATATTTTTTTAATATTCAAAATGTCAGCATACCATCAACTTGGAGTATTATTATTTTTTTATCGAACAGAGCACAATACCACAGGAGTTATGGAGGACCATGATCGGCCTTGGACACAATTCTGGGAGCTAACTCTAGATTGAGTCGACTTTGATTGACTAATTAATACGACTAATAAAGCACAGTTGTCACCAACTGCCCATAGTTCATATTGCCATTGTATTGAGATGGCTCTGCTCCAATTCACTTCAACACAGATTCGAGATCTACCACAATAAGTAGAGGGATTGGATGTCGGGTTTCAAATCTGCTCTGGTTCATGAAGATCGACAGGAGCAGCCTTTGACTGGATTTGATATATCTATGCCTTTATAAGATATAACCTTATGTGGAATACAAGGGTGAAATACTTACTTTCCAGTGGGAATTCCTTGGGAAGGATCTTGTCCTCCTACATTAGGTGTTCCAAATCCAGCACCACCGAATCCCATACCATAGGGTGACATACCTCCCATCATTCCCATACCACCCATCATTCCTAAACCACCCATCATTCCCATACCACCGAGTCCACCATACATCATAGCCATTGGATTGTACATACCGCCCATAAGCATAGGGTTGTACATGCTAGCCATAAGCATTGGGTTGTACATACCGCCCATAAGCATAGGATTGTACATTCCCATGCCTAATCCTCCAAGTCCCATACCGTACATATCCGGCATTAGCAACAGCCATAAGGCAGGCGACAGCAACAACTAATTTCATCATCTGTAATGTTAATTATAATGTAAAGGTTATGTGGATTTTGCAGCTGGGATGCCTGGGTGAAAAACCTTGTCGCATGTGCAAGATTTTGAAAATATGTATATATCATTGCATCAGTGGGTTTGTTTGACTTTCGTTGTTCTTAATATGGGTTGAGTTCGGGATCGTCTGAGATTGGAAGAATCAAAGAGAAACTGACGTGTCAACCACTACTGCTAGCAACTGGACAACAAATATATCCCAGTTACAAACAGTTGCAATAAGTAATACATTATGTATATCAGTTTTACTACATCATATTTCTAATTGTATTTCTAACAACAATTAGATTTTGTGGTTGATCTGAATAGAAGGGTCAATTGCAGTTGCTAGTTTCGAAATAAGCGCTTTACTTTCAGTTAGCTGTTGACAAAGAGACTCCTTTTAATATCTAACGATCTGCAACCGCTTTAAGAAATCTGTCAATTACTATACTAGTGTTATGTCAATACCACCAAATAATAATGCAACAGACTGAAAATAAAATTTGAAATGAAAGCTTACCTTGAGTTTGTAGGTTTGTTTGTTGTTTTTACTAGAGGAAGTAGTGAAGATCGAATGATGTTTTCACTCAAGTGAGTGGAGGTTTATATACTCACGCTTCTTCCTGTTTAAATGTAATTAGGGAAATAATTAGTGTAAACCCTAATATTTAGGGACCTGTAATTAATTTATATTATATCATATAACATTATGTGTTGATTAATAAAAATTATGAAAATTATGAAATAGGATGGTGCGTCCATAATTACCTGAACAGATTTTTTAGATAGACTTTATTAAATGAGATACATGCATCTCGTATAGTAGCTATTCGATTTATTTGATTATCGATAGGGTTCATCCTTGTGTGATAATAACCAAGTTTAACAAGTTTCGTTTAAATCTGTCAAGAAGTGTGCCTTCTGGAGTGTTTACGAGTTAAAAAAAAATGAACGCGGGCAATAACTCATATTATATACTTTTCGATTTTTCTGATTTTCAATAGGATTTATCCTATGATGATGCTTTAAAATTTACCTCAGTTTCTGTTTGAATAAATCAGGATCGTGGTACATTAATTAAAAACGGAGAGAACTAATTGTTAATTAAGCAGTTTGACCTAGTTTTGGCGTTTGGCTTTATATTGTGTCGATATTATCAGTTGAAACCTTTAGAATAAATAGGAAACATATTTCTCTACAATTAGGCGTTTATTGCAGTACGCATTGTTTAGCTAATGACTATTTCTTTTTCCAGTGCGTTCTTCGACATTTTGAGCTTCAACTTTGAGCCGATTTTTTAATTTCGATTTTACTTTCTTTTATTTCCGGTTAAAATTTTTCAGTAATGATCAAAACTTCAAAGGCTCCTATTTCGTGACCTTGACCTTTGGTGACCTTGTGGTCTGAACGAAATGTGTTGGCCTTGATGATATCTATCCAATAATATTCTCATTTGTGTTGTCCAATGTTTACTTCCGGTTTTATATCCGATTGAAATTTACGATTTTTATCTTTAAAAAGCTCTGTCACGTGTACTAATCCAAAAATTCTTATTGAATCCTTAGTATTCATATATAACACTGGATATTTCATTGAAAATTGCGCTTTTTAATATTTGAAAATTTTGTATTTTCTTCTATAGTAACTGTGAGTAATTTTCTTTAAATCGAAATGGGTCCTCGGGGGTAATCCTATTTGTGTAAATTTAATGTCTATGGTATCTAATATCGATTGCTAAATAATATTTGAGAAGCGATTTTGGAATTTTGATTTAAAAATGCTCTTTATTTATTTCTGGTTGAAAACTATGAAACTGCGAAGGGTCGTATTTCGTGACCTTTACCTTTGGTGGCCACATGACCCGAATAATTTTGATAGCTCTCGACGAGATCTATCCAACGGTATATTCTTTTTTATTGTACGGTGTTTCATTCTGGTTTTATCGCCATTTGAAATAAATGAATTTTATCTTGAAAAGAGCCCAGAGTCGCTTGTATTAGTCTTTTGTGGTCTGAAAGATAAGGTTATTTGTTGGAGTTTGCTCCCTTCAACTGTTGTTGAAAACAGTAGGTTAAGGAATATTTATAAATGATGTCATATTGAGCTAATGTTTTTTTAAAATTATACAACTTGAATTTTTCTGTAGAACAAAACACAAGTCTAGTGACAAAATGGACATGGTGAGGAATGTCAAGCGATCTGCCGAATATGCTTTTTTTTGGGGCAAAACAAGACACGAGTTTCAGCGAGCTGTTGAATATGCTTTGAGTTAATACGACCTATATATCTAGTTCATTATGGTAGGAAATAATGTTTCTGTGAAATACTAAGAGGCACAGTTTTAAACGTAAAATCAAAACTGTTACGCACTGCTTCAGAACCACGCGTAGCCTGTGGATCTAGTTTTACTTAAACAGCTTCCAAATGGAATTACGAACTTTAAAAGTTTACGTAAACTTTTTAGATAGTTTGTGCGTTAAAACATCAACGGCAAGTTTTTTTAGTTTTAAGGAACACGTGTCTCAAGATATTGTTGTATTAACAAAATTCACTGGCTCACTAAAACATTCTCATTGATTGACTTCGCCTTTTCTTCTGGTAATTCACTGAGTGATTATCAACCTTTCTTAAATGTAGGCCTAATTGTGGTAGCATGTAGCCTTATGTGAGATAAATTAATGTCGTATTTCTTGAAGAAGTTAAACAATAATACCAGTTGTTTTAAGAGAATTTCCTGACATAGACTTCAACTCAGCAAATCAAATGTGGACGTATATAGTCGTAGCTCACGACCTTTTCTTTAATCAGTCTGTCACCCTACATTTCAATAATTGGGAATAATTCCAAGAACGACTTGTAAAATATTGCCCTTATATCTTAACAAAATATCTTATTTGGCCTGAGGACGTGATACAGGCTATAATGTTCTAATGATAATCTCTTTATTTTGCATGGGTCGGTAAATTAAATTATCCGATCTTGATTTTTTCGTAGATTTGCAGCAGTTAACAAAAGCTCAAATCACAAAAATTGGTCAACCCTTGTCCCCTCCTTCTATCGTAAGCTAGAAGTGTTATTAACGAAGCAATAGACATCCATTGGCAGATAGAGCGCCTAATTTAATGCTTGGAGCAAAAAAATATTTGTTTGGTGCAGTACAGTTGTTAAATTAAATTTTGACTCTAATGTCATACATAGGTCCAGATAATACCTTCGGATTTTTCATACCGGTTTCCCCCTGTCAGTGATGCAGGTAAGAGGTACTGACATGGAAAAATCGTCTAGTCGTTCCGATGGGAGAATAAACCGAGGGCCTGTGTGCTACAGGCTGTGCACGTCAAAGATCCCTCGACAGTTTGAAATCGAAAAAGAGCAGACTAATGCCGCTGTCCTGGAATAATTTCCCTCATTGCATCCTGCATGACGTTGCCCGTCTTCATTCGTCAACAAGGTGCAGGTAGTAGGGCGTAAAACTCCATTTATTTCATTTCATTTCTGATGTCATACAAATCGTATGATAGTTTTGTTTGTCTGAGGATATCCTCGGATCATTAGAACTATGTTCAGTATTGTCCTTACGTTTCGGGGAATTTTCCCCAAGAGTAAGCAGGCAATGAGTTCATTGGACTAAAAAGACGAATTTTATTTTCAATTTTTATTTGATTAAAATTCATGTTTGACGCAATTATGCGTTTCCAATTTACCATTTCAAGGTTTCAATTGTTTATCTGAAAAAAGAAAAAAATAGTTTCAGTTATATAGAATGTCAACATGATATTTATTTTGAATCAAATAGATGTATCTTAACCTTGGACAACTGCTTTTGAACCAAGCATGATAATGTCGAGTCGATTCTGTTTTGGCTGAATGGCAGCCTCGTTTGTCTCTACATCATAGCTGCACCGGTCTAAAGAACCAGAAATTGTTGTAACTGTGTGACCTATACCATTGTCACAAGCAAAGTCAATTGGATTTGACCAATCTTACATAATTTTGGAGTCAGCAAAATTAAAAAATTCGATTGTAATTTGTGATTCTTATTCTGTTCGACATTGGACCCAGTTTAGTCTCTGTTCTCCATGTATTTTTCATAGCTACTCGGTCAACAAGTCCTATAAGATTAATTGGATACAAGTGAACTCGGTTGTTTGTTTGTTTGAAAAATTGAAAAAAAAAAATGTTGCTTACTTTCCAGTGGGAATTCCTTGGGAAGGATCTTGTCCTCCTACATTAGGTGTTCCAAATCCAGCACCACCGAATCCCATACCATAGGGTGACATACCTCCCATCATTCCAACCACCCATCATTCCCATACCACCCATCATTCCCATACCACCGAGTCCACCATACATCATAGCCATTGGGTTGTACATACCGCCCATAAGCATAGGATTGTACATACTAGCCATAAGCATAGGGTTGTACATACCGCCCATAAGCATAGGATTGTACATTCCCATGCCTAATCCTCCAAGTCCCATACCGTACATTCCCATACCGTACATACCGGCATTAGCAACAGCCATAAGGCAGGCGACAGCAACAACTAATTTCATCATCTGTAAGAGAAAAAAATACCAATATGTCGGGTGTCCGAAAGAAATGTCGGTTGGACAATTCTATTTGCAGAGTAACATTGGAGTTTTGGTAAAGGGGCAGCATGCCCTGCCTAATTATCGACAATGTCTTGAAACTACCTAAACAGATACAATGTTTTATATATAAACGCTTACCTTGAGTTTTTAGGTTTTTTTTTAGTTCTTACTAGAAGAAGTAGTGAAGATCGAATGATGTTTTCACTCAAGTGAGTGGAGGTTTATATACTCACGCTTCTTCCTGTTTAAATGTAATTAGCGAAATAATTAGTGTAAACCCTAATATTTAGGGACTTGATTTCCGTTATTATATATATTATGTGCTAATTAATTATAGCTATGTAAACTGGTATTTGATTTCGCGAAGTGGAGGCTATTTGTCTCCCAGACATCATTGATCTTAAAAAAAATGATAAAATCGGTTAAAATTTAACAAAAAAAAAGAAATTTAGTAATGGTTTGTAACACCAACTGCATGCCCACATTATTTGTACGATTTTTATACGTTTTTGCCCCTAAATAAGTGTCAGAATGCACAGTTCAATTCTATTTTTAATTTTTTTTTTTAGAGAGAACCCTTTAAATAGGAGGCTCTATGGCGTTTCCACGGAGCTGCCGCATATTGAATCTGGACCATTAAATCAGCCTGCCCCTATTCTCAACCCCAGTCTCGGAAGGCTGGTGCCGCTCCTGGCGAACAGAGAGAAGATCTCATTTCATAATGCTAGAATTACCCGAAACTTGGTTTATTTTGGTAAGATCAAGTAAAACTATGTATGTCGGTTTCTATTGATAAGATTTTGGGTGATATAGCTCGAATCAAGTAAATATTTGTAATTTGTTTTTTTTATTGATAAGATTTCAGTTGATATAGCTCGAATCAAGTAAATATTTGTAATTTGTTTTTTATTGATAAGATTTCAGTTGATATAGCTCGAATCAAGTAAATATTTGCAATTTGTTTTTTTATTGATAAGATTTCAGTTGATATAGTTCGAATCAAGTAAATATTTGTAATTTATTTTTTTATTGATAAGATTTCAGTTGATATAGCTCAAATCAAGTAAATATTTGTAATTTGTTTTTTATTGATAAGATTTCAGTTGATATAGCTCGAATCAAGTAAATATTTGTAATTTATTTTTTTATTGATAAGATTTCAGTTGATATAGCTCGAATCAAGTAAATATTTGTAATTTATTTTTTTATTGATAAGATTTCAGTTGATATAGCTCGAATCAAGTAAATATTTGTAATTTGTTTTTTTATTGATAAGATTTCAGTTGATATAGCTCGAATCAAGTAAATATTTGTAATTTGTTTTTTTATTGATAAGATTTCAGTTGATATAGCTCGAATCAAGTAAATATTTGTAATTTGTTTTTTTATTGATAAGATTTCAGTTGATATAGCTCGAATCAAGTAAAGCTTTGTAATTTATTTTTTTATTGATAAGATTTCAGTTGATATAGCTCGAATCTAGTAAAGCTTTGTAATTTATTTTTTTATTGATAAGATTTCAGTTGATATAGCTCGAATCTTTTTATTTCGGCTTATATTGATAAGATCTCAGTTGAATGAAGTAAAACGTTGTTTGTTAGTTTGTATTGATAAGATTTCAGTTGATATAGCTTGAATCACTTAAATAATGTATCCGCGTTTTGCTGCCTGAGAGGTTTGTGTCTAATACTCCTCCGCTAAATAGTAGCCAAATATTGAATTTAGCCTCAACCACCACCCCTATTTGTATCCCCATGTTCGAAAGGGTGGCGCCGCCACTGCCTAAACCAGTTCTTCAACCTACTTGTATTAGCTTTAAGCCCATGTGTCGATGCTAAGTGCTCAATTACTTTAAATATTGTTTATGGGAATTGCTGGAGAAATCCAGGGTTTTCTTTCAGAACACCTGATGCCAATCTATGTTGGATTTTATCAATTCGGCATTTGAGTCCGCATGATTGACACTGTATCCGCGGTTGGTTTATGATCTAAAATTAGCGTTGGGATATATTTAATTACAAAGTAGTTTGGGGTTGATCTTAATTTAGCTAAAGATAAATTAATTAATACTTGGTAAGAAAGGGTAATACTAATTTCCTTAATTACACTCAAACAGGAAGAAGCGTGAGTATATAAACCTCCACTCACTTGAGTGAAAACATCATTCGATCTTCACTACTTCTTCTAGTAAGAACAACAAAAACAAACAAAAAAGGTAAGAATTAGTTCAAACATTTTATGAACCTTCATGGTTTAACTTAGTGGTTACTGAGTTCATACAATTCAGTATATTTATAGATAAGCGCTTTACGAACTATTATGCATAATGTTAAAAGAAGTGTGCTCCAATACTTGAGACCCAGTTTTGAAAACAACTTTTGAATTTTGTCTCCACCATAATATGAATTTGACAGGTTTTTGCTAACGATCCTGGCTACATAGGTAATATATTTTGGTACATTTATTTCAACAGATGATGAAATTAGTTGTTGCTGTCGCCTGCCTTATGGCTGTTGCTAATGCCGGTATGTACGGTATGGGTCTTGGAGGATTAGGCATGGGAATGTACAACCCTATGCTTATGGGCGGTATGTACAACCCTATGCTTATGGCTAGTATGTACAATCCTATGCTTATGGGCGGAATGTACAACCCAATGGCTATGATGTATGGTGGACTCGGTGGTCTTGGAATGATGGGTGGTTTAGGAATGATGGGTGGTATGGGAATGATGGGAGGTATGTCACCCTATGGTATGGGATTCGGTGGTGCTGGATTTGGAACACCTGCTGTAGGAGGACAAGATCCTTCCCAGGGAACCTTGTAAGTATTTTTTTCTTGAAAAATACACACCCTGTGTATGAGATTATCAACTAGGCATTGTTAGAAATGTAGATGTTGATGGTAAACCTAGTCGTACAATAATACCAAATCGAGTATGTATTGTATTGGTACAGCATTACTGTAAATTGGATTTTCTAAAGGATTATAATAAAATGTCGAGTCAACAAACTCGTTAGTCACCGAAGTATCAAGCAATTAGTCAAAATGACAGTGTATCAGCTCGTAATAGATTATGCTATTATGTGCCGTGAAATCGAACCCCCATCAATATTTGACATTGCTTTCGAGATTAACCCTGGAGTGGGCTCTCAAATCCTTCCACCGGCTTTAAATTTAATCTCCTTTTTTCAGTTAGATGATTGAAATGAAGATCCATGGTTACCATGGTTACATTGTGGGATTGACATCGTTCAAAACAATATTGAAAAAATAAAATTGAATACAAAAAGCTGCTGTTCTCATCTTTTTATGTTAGACCCAAGATAATAACATTTTATAATTTGTTCTTTTTTGCCATGGAACGGTATTGATTTACATGTTCAAGCAAATGAAAAACAACTTATGAAGCTAAATCGTTGGCACAATCGAAAAATCCTTATTGTCTATTCATTCAATTAAAGGCCAACGACTTACACAAGGTGAGAATCGAAACAACTGTGGGCATCATATTAATTATTATCAATCTGACACTTTTATTCCTCGCAATGCCGCCTGTTCGCACACTGTATGCGCACTCTATACGCAATATCGCCAAACTCTATCTCCGGACGAGTTCGAATTTGTTAAGGATTCAATGATCTCAGTTTGGGTAGTGGCCCTTCACCTAACCGAAACCAGTCAAAATCAACTGGTAGATGTGATATAGAACACAGTAATGTTGTTATTTGATTAAAGAAAAATAAATATCCCAATATCTTCTTTAAGATAGGTTGCTAGTCGATGAAACGTACGCACCTTGGCAGCTTTGTTTAAATAGGAACATATTTGTCAGAACGGTCATCAACACCCAAACAAATTTTATATTTATTATTTTCAATAAGTTCCGTCTAGAATATTTTCTGCTAGTATGTTTCAAAGCTAAAATATTAATTAGCTCTCAGTCTCGAAATTTGATTCAACCCGGTTCCCCCCTGTCAGTGATGCAGGTACGAGGGACTGACATGGAAAAAGCGTCTAGTCGTTCGGAATGGACAATAAAACTAGGCCCCGTGTGCCACATGCTGTGCACGTTAAAGATCCCTCCACAGTTGGAAATCGAAAAAGAGCAGACTAATGCCGCTGTCCTGTCAAAATTTCCCTCATTGCACCCTGATGGCGTTGCCCGTCTTCATCAGCCCACATGGTGCAGAAACGTAGGACGTAAAACTCCATTCATTTCATTTCATTTTCATTTCGAAATATGATGATCTTGAGTTACTTTCGTTGATCTAGTAAAAGAGCCCTAAATTTGAGTCTGAATGCAATTCGATGAGCTACAGTTTTTATCTAATCTTCGTGGAACTTGGTTCGCACGATCAAATCCATATGCATTATGAAGGTGTTGAATACTATAAATTATCTGTTAAGTACTGATTTAATAACCACATGCAATCCAGCCACCCCTGTTGACAAAGTAGGTTGTTCCAAATAAGGGTCACAACTCTTGTCGGATATGACGTTCATGTCATGGAACCCCTCTTCTCACTTTTGTAAAGTATTAAAACACAGACGTTTTTGTCTCCAAAAGTGAAACTAGAACTATTAAAATGTAGATATACGTATATTTTTAGCAGTGCAATGGTATTCCTGTAGCATCGGTAAGCTTACATCATTGATTTTCCAACTGTGAAGCATTTAATTGAAAAATTTCAAAAAACTTTTTACTTTGTTTATAGTATAGAGTAATAGGCGAGGTTTCTTCAACACGTGTTGTTATTAATTTTTTTCCAAATATTTTGTTAATTTTTATTTTAAAAGCTGCTTCAGAATCATCAGATATCTTTTGTAAGAATATTTACCACGCTAAAATAGCATCTTTATCAATATTTATTTAATTCTGTGGTTGAAATTCCCGCAAAAGGAATTTTAACAGGAACGGATAAGGATGTAATCAATGTTTACTGCCGCTTCTCAAACGTTTATTTGAAAAATGAATTAGGTTACATCGATTTCGATTTCCGCAGGCCAATATCACCCATATCCGTCCGTCCGTCCGTCGGTCGGTCCGTCCCTCTACAATTGCTCGTAAACACTCTAGAAGGTACAATTCTGGACTGATTTTGACGAAACTTAGTAGGATTGTTTGTAATAATCCAAGGATGAACCCTATTAAAAATCAGAAAAATAGAAAAATATTTAATATGAGTTATTGCCTTTGTTCTTGAAATGCTCGTAAACAATCTAGAAGGAGCAATTCTTGACAGATTTTTTATGAAACTTGGTGTAAGTGTTTGCTAACACCCAAAGATGAACCCTTTTGAAAATAATAAAAAAAAACGGAATATAATTAGTATGAGTTATTGCCCTTGTTTTTGAAAACGCGTTTAGTTTTAGGTTGTAAACATTCTAGAATGTTCAATTATTGACAGATTTGACGAAACCTGGTGTAGATGTTTGTTATCACCCAAGGACGAACCCTATTGAAAATCAGAAAAATCGAAAAATATTTAGAATGAGTTATTGCCCTTGTTCATGAAAAAGCGTTCAGTTTTTAACGCGTAAACGCTCTGGAAGGTTGAATTATTGTCAGATTATATAGCACATAAATATTATAAAAGGCCCAATTCTTGACAGATTTTGACGAAACTTGGTAATATTATACCAAGAAGTCAAAAGAAGTGTACCCGGTTTCCCCCTGTCAGTGATGCAGGTAAGAGAGGCTGACATGGAAAAAGCGTCTAGTCGTTCGGATGGGACAATAAACCGAGGCCCCGTGTGCTACAGGCTGTGCACGTTAAAGATCCCTCGACAGTTGGAAATCGAAAAAGAGCAAGCTAATGCCGCTGTCTTGGCAAAATTTCCCTCATTGCACTCTGCATGGCATTGCCCATTTTCATTAGCCCACATGGTGCAGAAAAGTAGGACGTAAAACTCCATTCATTTCATTTCATTTCAAAAGAAGTGTAAGACTGAAGGTTAAATATTGCATACTGGTAATTGTTACTGTAAGCTTAGTGCCAAATATTTTTGTATAGAATCAAAGTTGCCAGTGGGCGTATATTTTAATTATTCTATCAGGTGAAAAAGGGGCATGAAAATCTTTTTATATTAACAAAGATAATATTTTCTGTATTTTTATTATTACTAAACCAATACAATTGTATAATAAATAACTTTAGTGAATAAATCTGGAACATTCCATCAGTGGTATCCAACTTTAACTGAAATTAAGAACAAGAGATAATATTTTAGATGTACCATGGCGTAAGAAAAGAGAATTTTCGGAACCCAGGCAGGGGTGTAGGTTTGGTGAAGTGGGAGATATGGTCCAGGGGTTCAAACAAAAACTTCAAAACCAAGTACCGTAGTAGTTTCACGCGTGTAAACACGTTGCTCCCTACTTATTCCTCAAAATATATGGCAATACTTACATGGTTCCTTGAGAAGGATCTTGTCCTCCCACAACAGGTGTTCCAAATCCAGCACCACCGAATCCCATACCATAGGGTGACATACCTCCCATCATTCCCATACCACCCATCATTCCTAAACCACCCATCATTCCAAGACCACCGAGTCCACCATACATCATAGCCATTGGGTTGTACATACCGCCCATAAGCATAGGATTGTACATACTAGCCATAAGCATAGGGTTGTACATACCGCCCATAAGCATAGGATTGTACATTCCCATGCCTAATCCTCCAAGACCCATACCGTACATTCCCATACCGTACATACCGGCATTAGCAACAGCCATAAGGCAGGCGACAGCAACAACTAATTTCATCATCTGAAAAAATATGAATTAAACTGATTATGAAAAATATGTGTGACAAATTTTCAAAAATAAAACATTTTTAGTGTCGGCAATGCAGGACAGAGAGACAATGGCGAAGCGAAAGGAGGGGTGGGGGGAAGCCACGAAAGCAAGTTTTCGGCCAAAAATCTCATAACTAGGTTAGAGATTCGGGCAATCTCAGATATCTCCTCACCCCCTTGGCATTAACTGTCTTTATCTAATCTTGTGATCTTGAATAAGTCATATTTCCTTATCATTCCAGTGGACTCAGATGTAAGTGGTTAAAGATAATCCGGGAAAGATCAATGCCAAGAACCATCTTGTAGAAAGGATCCTCGTTTCACACTACCACAATCAGAGGAGAGATATGCAAAATCTACTTCAAGCTGCTGTAAGGTAAAACTATATATATAATTCATTTTCTTACCTTGAGTTTGTAGGTTTGTTTGTTGTTTTTACTAGAAGAAGTAGTGAAGATCGAATGATGTTTTCACTCAAATGAGTGGAGTTTTATATACTCACGCTTCTTCCTGTTTGAGCCTAATTAAGGAAATCATTAAGACCCATCCCTTAAAATCCTTAATTAATTAAACGACACAAAATTACCTAATGTTGCATAGACTGAATTCGTGAGAGTATAGTTTTCACTCGATGGTCGTAAAAAAGTGATATAGTTCCCTAATACTGTCTTGTAGGCTACTGATTAAGAATCAGCGCCTGGAATGGCGATTTAATAAATAGTCCGTTACTCGGAAGGGGATACCAAACTTTAACAGTAGTATGCAGTTTGCTATTTTCTCAATTAAAATGCTCCGGCCAAGTTTTGAGTTTTCCAAATTAGGGTCAAAACGTCCAAACTAGCTTTTATGAATCTTGGGACGTAGGGACTACAATATTATATTATAATATAATATATTTGTCAAGAGAGGTACTCAGGCAATTCTTTCCTTATGTTCATTTATAAGAAATTTGAATTTGCTTCGACCAAAACAGAGTCAGCTTCTTTTCCCGTGTCTTAACGAATTGGTAACTGCAGCTAAATACTTAGTGATAGTAGTTGTAAATAACGACAGTTCAGTTAAAAATGAGTGCAAAAAAGTTAAAAAGGTAGTTTCTAATGTAGCTTTGAATCACAGACAAAAATATCACCAAGATTTCCAATTTTTGTGGATGCCCGATGAAGAGACAGCAAATAGTATCACAATGTCATTTCTTAACATTCCTTCAATAGTAGTGTTGGAAACTGCCTCTCAACTTCATTATATTTCGGACAAAAATGTGACAGACCTAACTGAGCAATCCATTCAAGACTTTTTAGATGGCATCAAAGTAGGCAAAGTTGATGCTTATGGAGGTACAGGATTTTTATCTAAATTAAAAAGAGCAGGATTTGACTTCTTGACTACTGTTTTAAGCATTTGGCAAGCCTCCAGGTGGCTGTTTTTGTTGATGTTTGGGTTGCCAACTGTGATTATTAGTGTAGTGTGTTATAGTTTATGTTGTATGGAAACTATTGATGAAGGTGTGAACTCAGATGAGGAGGATATGGATTTGTCAAGAAAGGTACTCAGGCAATTCTTTCCTTATGTTCATTTATAAGAAATTTGAATTTGCTTCGAGTCAGCTTCTTTTCCCGTGTCTTCTTGTGAATGAATCTTTCCTCGTTATATCAGTCGGCCCTTCTGTGGGCATAAATGTGTATAGATACTCCGGGAAAAATCAATGCCACGAGGTTTAGCCAAGGTAACAGGGTCCTCGTGAACCTAAGATGTTGTCCATATTTTTTTTTCCAAAAAAGTGACTGTTTCCTCTTGTCTTTTCTTTAACCGTAATTTTACGCGTTTCTGTAAAAAAAAATGGGTGGTCAATTATACACCTTAAAGGACATTATTGTGGTAAGGGGAGATAATATTCATATTACTGGGGTTTGTAGTTACAAGACAGAGACTACAGAAGAGAGTTGCATTTGACCACTTGATTCAGTTTATGCTGAGAAAAACTGATATTGATTTTGAGCACAAAATATTGTGTGATTGTGTTATTTTGGATATGTAGGCCTAGATCAAATTAAAATGTACGGTAGAAAATGATATTAGACGTTACGATATATCTTTCATTTATTACGAAACGTCTCATAAAGACTGGTCAATCGTGACACACAACAACATGGCGGCCCCCATTGATTGTCTGAAAATATACTTTTTCTTCGTTATTTTCCTTTTTCGGCAACCATGTAATGCTCAAGTTGAATTAGACGATAAAATCTTAGAGATGAGAAAAAATGGCATGTGGTTAATCGAATTTTATGCCCCTTGGTGTGGCCATTGTCGAAAATTAGAGCCGGTTTATAGGCAAGTTTTTACTGAACTGAAAAACAGTGGTAGTGGGGTTATTGTCAGTAAAATTGATGCAACGCGTTACTCCAATGTTGCATCTGAATTTGATGTACGTGGATTCCCCACACTCAAATTTGTAAATGGTGACAAAGTTTATACACACAGAGGTGACAGATCAAAGGAAGACATCTTAGATTTTGTAAATAAAGCCAAAGGACCTGCCGTTCGAAATATTGCCAGTGTTGGAAAATTCAATGAAATAAAAACTCTGCATGGAAAGTCTGTTTTTTTCATGTTTGTTGGAAATGGAGATGAAAATGATGATTTGTTCAAAAAATATTCTTCATTAGCAGAGAAGCATATAATTGAAAGCTATTTTTATTCTGGACCAAAAAATTCCCTTCCAGATAAAGTGACCATTAAAACTTTCCCAACAGTGTTAGTTTTTAAAGACAAAAATATATTTGAATTTGATGTTGGGGAATCTGAAGTTGTGACAAAAGACAAATTAGAAAAATGGTTGAATCGAGAAAGATTTCCTGCATTTCCAAAAGTTCAGGGAGGTGGTCTTAACGAATTGGTAACTGCAGCTAAATACTTAGTGATAGTAGTTGTAAATAAAGACAGTTCAGTTAAAAATGAGTGCAAAAAAGTTAAAAAGGTAGTTTCTAATGTAGCTTTGAATCACAGACAAAAATATCACCAAGATTTCCAATTTTTGTGGATGCCCGATGAAGAGACAGCAAATAGTATCACAATGTCATTTCTTAACATTCCTTCAATAGTAGTGTTGGAAACTGCCTCTCAACTTCATTATATTTCGGACAAAAATGTGACAGACCTAACTGAGCAATCCATTCAAGACTTTTTAGATGGCATCAAAGTAGGCAAAGTTGATGCTTATGGAGGTACAGGATTTTTATCTAAATTAAAAAGAGCAGGATTTGACTTCTTGACTACTGTTTTAAGCATTTGGCAAGCCTCCAGGTGGCTGTTTTTGTTGATGTTTGGGTTGCCAACTGTGATTATTAGTGTAGTGTGTTATAGTTTATGTTGTATGGAAACTATTGATGAAGGCGTGAACTCAGATGATGAGGATATGGATGAATATGAAGGTCAGCGAAGAGAGCTAGAAGAAAATGAGGAAAATGATCAACAAGAAAATCATGAACCACCGAAAATTGACCATGAGAAATATGAATGATCCTGTGTATTGTTGTTGTTGTTGTTATGACTGAATTCAGTGAATTGTTAAGAATGTTTGTATCTATAGTCTGAAAAAGCTATTGTGCATGTTTCAAAATATGAACAACTGTCCACTTTTTTGAAGTAGTCTTAAGTAGTAATGAACAGTATAAGCTTAAATCTGATTATATATTATACGAAAAGTGAACTGCTAATGTACATGTTTTGTGTAAGTCTTGAATATGCACCAATATCTATTTTGGCATGAATATATCACCATGATAATAGAATGGTCAAGTGGAAAAGGCTGATGGCAAGATTAAATAAGGCCTGTCATATTTGATTTTCGAAAAGATAATGTATAATTTATGACTTTATTCCTTTACATCTGTACAATGTCTTTGAATGTACTGAGTCAAATGAACGTTTTAAAGAATTGTAATGTTGTCTTCTAAACATACTATTAGATTGCCCAGAATTTGCATAATAGAATATTCAATGGAGTAAATTTCATGTAATATCATAATAAGTAAGTGACACCTATAGGGAAAAAAAAGACTTAGGCTAGGTTATTTCAAGGAAGACCTCACTTTCAGAAATCTATTTCTTCATTCATTATCATTGACAGAATATTTCATTTATAGTCTTTATAGAAAAATTTTCGTCAGAACGAACATATCGTTTATATATAAGATGGGCTGTGGCTATTTGCACCATGACGGTACAAAAATGGGCATCAAAAAACATGGACATCCTTACTTAACCCTAAAAAAGTCACTTAAAATCATTCTTGACAATCAAAATGGCTTCACGCTTAAACCCCCCCCCTTTACTTTTATATTTCATGTTGTCTTTCCTTCTTATATCATGTCTGTTTTCATAATGATGTATTGTTGTAATTTTGATAAATGTTTGTATAAAAGTTAGTTATATTTCTTCTTTTAATTTAAACCCAATGTCTATTTAATAGTAAAACTTCATGATTTTCTTAGAAAGAAAGGAAACTATTTTTAACAAGGATAAGAACTTAGGTTCACAGTTAAGGATCCTTTCTAACCTTAGCCTCTTGGCATTGATTTCCCAAATTATCTGTACCCATTTACAGCTGGGTCAACCTTAATTATGAGTGAAGATGACTTATTCAAGGTCATGGGATTTTCACATGCCGATGAGATTAGTCGTCATTCGGTGGATACTACCAAGCAAATGGCGTCATGTAAAGAACTAGTGCACTAACCAACTGTACTATAAATGTATCTGTATAATAGAATAAATTATAATGCTGGGGGAAGGCAAACATATGTTATCGCCTGATTATGACGAATTTTGAAATCGCTCAAAAGACTTGCTCTTGCGTCGATGATTTTTTTCATCCTTATGAATCGCCAGCAAACGGCTTAGTTTGTCCTGCAATCGACATTTCTTAACCAATCAGACTTGATACTGATATCACCGACGCTCAAAATGGCCGCCTGTACCTACTACCATTGGGGGAAAATAAAATAGTAGTGTTATTTCTTCCTATTTGCTACTGTCTTGTGATCTTGTTAACAAGTTCATCATTATAATTTGTGTGGTCATTTTAAGTAATTCCTCAAGAGGAAATTCGATCATAATCTGCAAAGACATGCAAGATAATATGGTGTTCAAGTAGCTAAAAAAAAATATTCTTTCAATGGAATCTAGAACTCAAGAATAGAGAAAAAAAATATTTTATTCTTTAAATAACACAGTGAAAAGTCAACATAAATTTATCCAAAAACATTTCATGGTTTACTCATAATATATTTGAGACCGAATTGTTTTTGATACCTATGGTTAATATCATGTTACTTACTTCTTTATTTGGTTATCTCAAAAGAAAGAAAACAATAAAATTTATAGTAATATGTACAATTAATGAAATGTAAAAATATCTATAATGCAGTGTAAAGAATACTATTACAGTCAAATTCTGATACATCAATTTGTATTCACTAAAAATTAATGTGGAAAAAAAATTAATTAATTTTTGTTTTTGTTAAATTAAAATATTTCTATTATCAATAAGTATATCAAGACTTCTAAATCCAGCCAAATTAACAAGCGAGGTTTACATGATTTACGCTTTGGCTTTTGTTTTGTCATAACCCTTTTAACCCTGAGTAGCCTTTAGCAAGTGACAAGATATCACACAATGTTAATGTCATACACTTTAAGTTACATTACCTGGAGTTTAGGTTATATGACCTTTGATTTCATTTACACTCTGACAGTGTTCAAATGGTTAAAAAGGATTCAAAAGAGTTACAGCGATAAAGAATCTATTTGCTTCTATCCGATTTCCAAATCAAGCCAAATTGTTTTTTCAACAGTGATGTCAAATTCAGGTCCCATAAAAAAAGCCTCTTATAAATCCCTTTATAGATGGGTTCCCTTATTTTCACTTATGAAAATCCTAATACTTATAGAATAGAAAGTAGAGGTGTTCTAATGACTTGGAAAAATAGCAGTTTGTCTTACATGTCCATAATTAATTCATAATTAGCTAAATTAGAAGAAAATTACAAGCAGAATTCTAATGAGTGACCGATCAAGAAAGGTCAAAAAGTCTTTTTTTTGTTTATCCAGACTGTACATTTATGGACATTTGGTCATAACTCTTAGTTATATGCAATAAGAACATAATGATATGATTAAGAATACATGATAATTCAATAGAAACACCAATTAATCAAATAGTTTGCTTAGTTTAACACAAAATAATAAGGAAACCTATCTGTAAATCACTGCAAAAATGTTGAAGAGGTTTTAAAAATCATCAAACACATCAGAAATTTCTATAAAGCAAAATTGTCCACAATTATAGCTGCATTTTACAATACAAGGCACTCAATGATTCTTTATGTTAATCCAAGGGTAATGCAATTGGCTTTAAAAAATATCTTGATTTTTGTAGGGATTGCAAACAAAATATAACATCCATATTTTACAAGATTGAAACTTAAAGGAACAGGTGTGCCATTTTGGGGAGTCTAGAATATATGTAAATAGTCTTCATAAGTACTAGAAATGTAAGATAATTCCTTCAAAAATATCTCAAACTAGGAATTTTATTTCTTATTTCTTTTAGATGTCTTTTCTATAGATGGTAGTGTCTCAAGAAAGCTCAACTTTCGAATGCAGATACACATGGATTTAAAGGCTCAAATTTCCACTGTGAGCTGTTAACACTATTTATGAGTTTCATAGCTAAAAAATTCACATTTATGATTGGTCTAAAAAAAATGGCGCATCTATCCCTTTAAGCTTTGGAGTCCTTGACCTTCACTTATTATCAGTAACCTTTTACAGCAAGGTCAATTAGACCATATCTTTCAGATGTGTCAATGCTTGAATAAAAGAAATAACCAAACAATATAACAAATTAGAATTGGCATGAGAAAAGATTTAGTGCAATCTATGCATTAAACTCAAACTATATTAATTTTTTTAAATAGTATGGCATATTTTATTGTAAAGTTACTTTGTTCCCTATTAAGTAATAGCAACAATTGGCACATAAGATATTAATAAGTATTATATAGCAATGTTCACACCTGTGATCTAGTAAACTATCATAACTTTCTTATTATTATACTTTAGTTAAAATGATTCTACGTCTGAGAATGAACATAAAATTTAAGTTCTCGAAATGGTCAATATGAGTATATATTCTTCAGTAAACTTACCTGGTGTCATAAAGTTACAACAGAATTCCTGTAAAATCTGTAAAATTCATAAAACTAAGTAATTATTGAAAAATGCTTAATCTTGATAATAAGCGTTTTTCAATAGTTAATTGCATATTTATGGATAATTACTAAGTTTTTTTTTTGGATTTATCGGATTATATAAGGATCCTGTTATGTTATTTATGACACCATGTATATCTAATGGCTCTTATTCACCAAATTTAAAATTTATAAATTTTATGTTAATTCCAAGACATAATATCACTTTAAATATCAAAGTAGTTAGCTGTTTGAGATAATTAGTTTTTAGTTTTTATTAATCGCATTCTAGTTGTACTGAGCTAATTATTTTGTGCACAAAATACTACTATACTAATTGAAAAGAAAAATTTATGTTTGAATTGTATCTTAATGGCATTTTTCCAATCATTTAATCATCACAAATAGCTAAAATTTAAGCAACTATCCCTTTAAATTGATCACATGAATGCAATAGCTGGCAATCTTTCCAAATCAGCGCATAAAATATATCTAAAAAAAATTGCATAAGCTTATTACTGAAAGCAACAGCAGTCAAGCGCTTTTTACATTTTACATATATATGGTACAATAAAACTGACGTTAAAGTGATTTGGTCCTCTAGTTATTCAATTTACCAGCTGATAGAATGAGACTACCCATAACACTTTTCAGAATAGGAATCTGCTTATCAGACTTGTGTACAAGTTAACAAAAACTGAGTCATTTAGATGGGTCATTACCTTTGAGAATGATTGCCATGGTTTGCACTAACACCTGTTACAGCCCTAACTCTTAACTAAGCTCAAGTTTTATTCCTAAATTTGATAAGGGTAGCTGGTTTGAATTTCCATCAGCTGGAAAGTAAATTATTTGACTGAATCCCTTTAAAATTGTAACAAAGAAATGAAAGCATTTGTGAATATTTTACTACGAAAAACAAATTCATATGCCATTATAATGGATACAAGTCATAAACTGTACATTTTGAGATCATTAACAACATTCTGAACAATTTTCATTTATCATAAAAATTAACCCATATCTTTCTAATATTCCATGCCTATTTAAAGATGTATTTCCCCTTTGGTTATGTTCAATATTTCATGCACATTTGTTCTTTTCATAATTGGCAAGTCTGTTTTAAAATCCTTTATCCCATTCATTTGATCGCTTACGTTCACCAATGGAGCTGCGATTTTGTTTCGGCATTTGGATGATGTCAAGTTGTATGTGTATACATGTTTCTCTGGTAAGCCTAGTTTCCCAGAGTATGACACTATGCAATCATGATACACCCATATTTATCAAACCAGCATAATCTACACCTGAATATCAGAGAGAATTCAAACCATTCCTTCTTAGAAATATAAGAAGTAACTACCAGAGACTAGATAAGTGTCAGCAAGTTTCAGAAAACACTTTACTAAAACATTATCTTTTGTCATGAAAGAAAACACAATTAAAAATCATAATATCAATCCATTTTGTCCACAAAGCTGCCAGGAAAAAGTCCTGTCTTGCCATTTCTTTGAAGAGTTCCCTTAAACCATCCATCCTCTCTTTTCTTGTGTACATATACCACATCTCCTACTTGTAGATCTAGTTCGTGTTCTGATTGAGGGGGATAGGGGGCAATACAGGTAAATCTGAAATGTAATGATAAAATATAAATTCTTATAAATGAAATGAATGGAGTTTTACATCCTACTTTTCTGCACCATGTGGGCTAATAAAGACAGTTCGTATAAATGAAAAATGTAGTGGGAACCTGTGTATATTAAAGTGATATGGTTGTCTAAATATTTGGCTTTTAAATACTATTTATATAAATAATAATATTTGCATGGATGTTTTAACAGAAAATTTTTAAGGACAGATGCAATTGGGCTTAAAATGGGCTAAAAAGTTAATTTTGTTGAAGTGAATGGCCAGCCAGAGCACATCCAATCTATTTTGACAGCATTCGTAAACAACGAAAAAGTCACTCATGGGGACAAGGTTCCATTTAAAGTAATTTCATGACTATCCATTTAACTCACTTATCCATCCCAGCTCCAATAATCAAGAAAGAATATCAAATAAAAGCCACTGAGAAAGACATGTACGAAATGTAAAGCCTTACTTTTCTCTAGTAAGTGGTTTAGGTCGAGATGGTTTACTAGAAAGTGTAGAATCGAAGGAACTGCTCTTCTTATGATCAACTGATGCACCTTGACTATTAGATGGATAGGATCTAGATCTGAAAAATCAACAACAGTTAGTAGCAGAATGGCAAATTTCAGAAAAGATACATGCCAGGACTATCCAAAATAATTACAAATGTCAACCAATCTATGCACTTGACCATTTAGTTCAACAAAGGAAATGAAATGGATTAGAGGGTCACCTCTGCTCCTGGCTGGGCACACAAGTAGATAGAAGGAAACACTTGATGAGAACTCTTTGCACAACATTTTATCCATTTGCCACACTAATTCCACTCACCTGACATGAGCAACTGTTGAGTCACCAGAAGCTGAAGGGATTTGTTCTACAGTGTTATGGGCAGAAACTGAACTAGATTTGGATTTCTTTGATTTACCACCAAGAAATTTGACTAAAGTTTTACTTGATTTTTCTTTCTTCTCCTTCTGCAATAAAAAATATAGCATCCATTGGTCAATTTGATAGAAAACATAATTTTTACAATTTTTCAACATTTCCACATTTCAATTGAAAAAGGGTTATGTGGTGTGGTGACCGAACCTCCACCTCCAAATCTAACTGTCCTGACAAGGACTAAAAATGTTGAGATGAGCTCTCAAGTCCTGTCCAAGAACCTACCTTTTCTTTCTGATGGGCGACAGCCAAATGCGACGTCTCTCCTGATGCACCAGCTACTTTATTGGGTGGTGTAACATTACTAGAAGCTGACAGGGAATGCTGTATGGCAACAAGATTGGCCCCTGCAGATACCCCATGGGTGGTCGTATCAGTTACTGTTCTAGACTTCTTCACATTGTGGGTGGAGCTACTCCTCACACTGACACTTGGTGGAGAAGTTTGATGAACTGAAGAGGATGAAGATTTGTGTGTGCGTGGCAAAGGAGCTGGTATCATTGGTGGCGATGATGTTTTGTGATTATTAGTTGTTGTTGGTGATGATGATGTTTGAGAAGATGATGATGATGATGATACTGTTGTAGATGATGTTGAGTTAGATCTTGAGGGTGAACTTGGTTGTTCTGTGGCTCTTACATTCATTACATTTGGATTTATTGGTTTAAAAGCGCTTGGTTGTCTGAAAGAAGACATAATCCATTTTAACCATTGTAATATTAATCTATTCTTTAACTTTAACCCTTTCAACCTAAGCAGCAATTACGCAATATATACTAGAGCGATTGGTAAACAGGCCATTACTTAGTGCAACATGATGAACATTACATACATGTATAATACTTGAATTCAGGGTATATGACGTTTTATTTCATTTACAATCCGGGTTCAAATGGTAAACAATTTCTTGGATAATAAATAGGGTATTGAAACAATTAAATGGAAATTTTGAAAATCACAAATCTATGTGCCTAAAATATTGCAAAATTGAGCAAGGTTACATTTAAAAACAAAAATGTCTTACCTAATCATCTGAACATAATTTCCAGGGAAAACACCACTTTTACCAGTTTTTACACATTGTCCTTTAAACCAGCCATCTTGACACTTTTCATTCACTGCATAATATTCTCCTTTATTTAACTCGAGTTCATCTTCTTTCAAACTTTTATAATTATATAGTGATATATATCTGTAGAAATACATGTTATAATTATATAGAGATGTAATCTGTAGAAATACATGTTATAATTATATAGTGATATATATCTGTAGAAATACATGTTATAATTATATAGAGATGTAATCTGTAGAAATACATGTTATAATTATATAGTGATATCCATCTGTAGAAATACATGTTATAATTATATAGAGATGTAATCTGTAGAAATACATGTTATAATTATATAGTGATATATATCTGTAGAAATACATGTTATAATTATATAGAGATGTAATCTGTAGAAATACATGTTATAATTATATAGAGATGTAATCTGTAGAAATACATGTTATAATTATATAGAGATGTAATCTGTAGAAATACATGTTATAAGTTTATAGAGATGTAATCTGTAGAAATACATGTTATAATTATATAGAGAATTGCAAATAACTATAGTGACTAAGTTACTTACACTGGTGTGGTCAGATTACTAGTAGATGATGTATTTTGTGATGGTGAGCTAACAGATCTTGGTGAGGCATTCTCAGGACTATCACTTCTCTGAAATATCAACATTTAAAAATAAATTTAGGAATAATTGTGTTCGTACTAATTAAAATACTTTTTCTACGCCCACATGAATATGTTTCTGAAAATGCGTTCAATTTTTAGTATGTAAACACTCCAGAAGGCACTTTTAATGGATTTTGACAAAACTTGGTGTGTTGTCAACCCTATCGAAAATCAGAAGAATCGAAAATATTTAGTTTGAGTTATTGCCCTGGCAAGCCATCTTGAGGTTTTGCCTTGACTTATAAATAATTTAAAGATTATTTGAAAATTCATAATCGAAGCCATTAAAGATTTTATCATTTCAGACAACTGGTAGTGGGAGTATGTTACCTTGCCTTGCAAGCTATTTTGAAGAAAACATTATTTTAATATCTATAGTAGAGCCACTTATCTGCACATTTCCATTAACATGCAAAGAGACATCTAAGACACCCGGAAATAGAAACAGATCAACTGCCATTTTAATGTCAACCGCCATTTTAAACTGTAAACTGTGAAATTGATTATGTAAATCAAATGTACAATATCTTACCTGAGGTGGTAGAGCAACTACATTAGAAGCTATGATAGAACTCGTATCAGTAGTGGTTGAAGTAGATACAATATTATAACCGCCAGTGCTAACTAATTCACAAGAATGACGTTGTGGATTGGTCGGTGAAGGTGAGGATGAATGGTTTGAAGAGAGTAAAGTGAATGAATGACGTTTTTGTTGTGGTAAACTGGAGGACAGAGTTGAAGATAATGTTGAGCTCTGATTAGCTGTGGTTGAAGCAGTAGGTAACTGTCTACCAATTTGTAAAATACTTGAGCTAAAATCAAGAGAATACACTGTAATGCACTATTGCTGGGTATAGTCAATCATGCCACCATACAATATCAGGGTCACAATATGATATCATGTAATGGGATATCACTGTGATATTTGGTTTCTTCAAAGTTTCAATATTTATTAATTTATCACTGTGATATTTGTTAATATAGTTGAGAAATGATAGTGTTTGGTGTTTAATATTATAAGAAGTTTATAAAATCCTACCTGATTTTCGAATTGACCAGAGATTTGGCGGCATTATTTAACTATAATAAAAGAAATATTCAAATTATAACACAATTTTCTGCAGCAAATGGTTCAACTATAAATAAAAAAAACAACACTTCACGAAAAAATTCATAATCCCATCAAATATACCTCAAACTATTTCACATTAGATATAACTTTATATTGGCAACCCACTTAGACAGAATTTCTTAATTCTAAATAGGTCCCACTAAACTACAAATTATATACAAGATTACATAAAGAATAAAATCACAGAAAATAACATAACATATGTATACATTAACAAATTAACATGGATGAGGTAAGAAATATAAACACTTTGTTTGATAAGATGATTATAATTAATCATTTTATAAATGTGGTCATTTTAACTTTCAAAAGCAATAATTCTGGACACACATGGTTTTTGAAGTCTTAAATTTCGCCTCTAAGGTGTGAACACTATTACTGATTAGCTTAGCTACAAAATTCCTGTTTCTGAAACTAAGGTACGATTGATCAACGAAGCTGAACAGTTTTATTTCAATCAAAATTATATTTACCTCAACAAAAGTCAGAGGAAAGATACCAATTTTATCTCCCTTTCTACCTTCTAGCCAATTTTCATCAACTCTTCTAATAATAGTTAAAACATCTTCCTGTAAATAAATAGGGAACTTACAAAACATAGCATATTGGAATAGATCATGGCCCCGTATTATGTAAGTAGCATTCAGAACTACAAATATACATGACATTGACTTCAGGTTAAACAGACATTTGAATAAGGAGCAGAAACATAAAGCTTAAAGATGTGTTCTCTTATTTTCATTTATGCAAATGAAAATACTTTTATGAATAGAAAGTAGAGATGTTCTAATGACTTGGAAAACTACCAGTTTGTCTTACATGTCCATTATCAATGCATAATTAGCTAAATTAGAAGAGAATTACAATCAGAATTCCAATGAGTGACCAATCAAGAAAGGTCAAAAAGTCTTTTTTGTTTATCCAGACTGTACAAACATGAACATTTATGGTTGGTTAAAACTTATTTTATCATATGCAATAAGAACATAATGATATGATTAAGAATAAATGATAATTCATTAGAAACACCAATTAATCAATCAGTTTGTATTAAAAAAATAAATGATACAATTAGAAACTATGAAATCAAACTTCAGCTTACCTTCTTAAAAACAAGACAATCCTTTTCTTTTTCATCTTTTAAGTCAAAATCATATAAAGCTCTGCATTGAGGAATTTGGGGTAAAGGAACAAGAACCTGACAAAGAAATAAAAATTCTACTTTGTTTGTCTACCCTAGATTTGTTCGTTTTCATTAAATAAAATTCATAACTATGTTTACTAATAGATTGTCAAAATACATAGAATTAAATAGTAATGAATACTAATTTAGACAAAAACGGTAACCCTGATCACAAAAGGAGAGCTAATTATAACAGTTGCATTTTGATGCAGGTGCATAGTCTTCCTTTAATGCTGAATGCACTGGCCATGGCATCAGTATCTTGATTAGGATTTGAACTTGTGCCACCTAATACCTATAACATGATAATTTAACTCACTACTAACTGAGCTATTCCACTGCCAGTCAGGAATTTTTATATTTGTGCAGTCAAAACTTTTTGTATTCTTACCTTAACAAAATTAGCAGGGAAGAAACCATGTTTCCCATTGAGTTCTCCTTGGTACCAATTTTCATCCAGTTGTCTTTTCAGTAACACTACATCACCCTTTTTTAAAGCCAAGTCTCTGGAAATCAAGAAGAATAAAAGCTTGTTACTTCTGCCTTCCCTAGAGGTGCTAATGTTGAAATAAGATATTAAAGGAATTGTAAAGAGAGGTGTTCGAAATTTTTTAAGTGCATCATTCCAAATTTCTATCAGAAGTTGGTGGTTTCTACAATTCCACTAAACCATAGTGTTTGATGATGTCAGTAATCGCGAAGACCTTGCGTGATACAATCATATTTGGTGATTAATGACGATTAATGACGTCATCAAATACTTAGTTATAGTGGAATTAAGATTCATAGACGTCTGATTTGAATTGGATTGATACAAATTGATGCTATCAGTGTTCCTGATACACATAAAAATTACAACCTTTACAATACCTTCAACTAACCAAGAAAATTTGACTTTTTGTTCAAAATTTGCTTGAAAAAGCTATAAGGTATAACTAATCTACCAATAACATCATGATCAGTTTAACCAAATTTAAACAGCTGCATTCTGAGAAACAGTGCCACTGAATGCAATTTCCATTTTTGTTCGCGTCACAAAATCCCAGCGTTGGCAAGGGAAGAATTTGATTAGCTGGCAGTGTCATAAAACTGATAAATATTTAAAAGGGGCGTCTATAGACCCTAACTGAAGTGGCTATATCAAAATCAAAAGCTACGGTAATAAAAAAAAACGAACGCAAGTTTGGTCTAATTTCAATTAGACTGCAATAACATTGAAATTAAGAAATAAACACCTTTAAAACTAAACTAGCATTCTAATCAAATGCCATGTCAGACACTTATTTACCAAATTTAAATTTTAGTTCATGAAACAAGGATAACTCCTCTTAACCAAATTTACAACAAAGTATCGTACAAAATAGAATTTTGAAGCACATTTTGAAGGTGGCACTGGCATACTCAGTTTAAATTTAGCCTATCATTGGAGAGAGAGGAAATTTATTTACCCATTTTCTTTAGCCTCATAATCATAAATTGCTTTGGCACAAGGTTGCTTTGTCTGAAAAAAAAAATATACCGTAATATTAGCTCATTTCATACATTTAAGCAGCTCAATTCAATGACATACTTGCAGACAATTTTGGCAGACAAGCTCTCATGAGAAATTTTTTTTATTTAAATTTTCCATTCCTGAGAACATTTAGAATCATGGTTGGCTAAAAGGCACATTTTTTTTTTTATTAGCTTAGTCTTAGATAGAAATTTAAAGTTTCACAAGTTCACATGTAATTATTTCGATGAAATAGAAACACACTTCATTTTGAGAGATTTCAGCTGAAAATATCCAACATTTTTCCTGAAAATTTCCTTCTATAAAAGTATTAATATAATGTCAGAAATACTAAAACAGAACTTGAATCATGTTGTTACTCAGAGAAATGCCTGAAGATCACACGCCATGAAACTCTGAATACAGTAACCGCATGATTGAGGGTATGTTTTAATATTTCTATATCACTCTACAATTAATGCATTGAGCACTATTTTAACAGTTAAAATATTTTATCATTGAAATAACACATTTTCCTCTTTACCTGTTTCACTGCTTGACGTTGGGACTGTGAAGTTGATGATGCAGAACTACTAGATGAAACATGATCTCTGTATCGGGCTGTGTCTGTTCCTGACTCAGACTTGTTAACTACACCCGATGTTTTGATGCCTTCCAACAGACGGATTAAAAGAATATTATTCGGCAGATCTTCTACTTTAATGGTCACAACAGCCCGACACTCTGGGCATCTTAGCTCACGTTTTGTCAAAATAATCTCATCCAGACATCTTCTACAAAATGTGTGTTGACATGGCAAAACTTTACTTGTGTGGTCAAGTCTGTCCAAACACACAGAACATTCCAGTAACTCATTCAGTGCTTTCTCGTCCATTGTCAGCAACTAAATGTGATTAATCAACCCCCATTCCAGCATCATCTTTGTCCTATATTCTTCCCTTAGACACAAGACATTTCAGTTTCTAAAAATAGAACTGGTTGTCACTTTTTCTGCAAACCAAAATACTGACAGTTCATTAAGTTTCATGCTCAACAAATCGTTCCAATGACGATACCTTTGTATGCAATCAATTATATTTTATTGAACAAAGTCTTTTAAATCACCAGTGGAACGAAATACCAGTATAACAAACTAAAACATTGAAGGAAAACAAGTAAATAAACTAAATAAAACTTTTAGAACGCCATATTTAACCGGAAGTTCAAGTCAACAAAAACATTGCGGAGGAATTTCAAGACGACAAAAAACATGTCAAGAAAATTCTTCAATCCTTTATCTATTTCTTAAACAAAATAACACATCAATATTGAATTATGTATATTAAGTAGTAAATATATTTTGGAAAATAGAAATACGATCAAAAGCTCTTGGAACTACACTGGGGGATGTTTCGTTCCGAAAGTACTTTTCTTTGGGTCGATTCGTACCAGTTATTTGAGATAAATATTGTACCATTGCATTTGAGACAATAATTTTTCAGTTTACTACTAAATGAAAATTACTGTTTACTAGTGCATTACAGTGTATTCTTTTGATTTTAGAACTTATTAAGTAGGCTACGATACCGTTATCAATATCGTTATCGCGATCAGTCCAGGATTTTCATTTATTCTTAATTTATACTAGCCAACATCTTCCTTCATAGAGGATCGATCGTTTTAGTTCAAACTTTCACAAATAAGTAGATCTTTAAGACATATTTCTGTACAATTTGAAGTTTATTTTGCTCACATCAACCGAAAATCAGCAACAGTTAAATGTTGGCTAAACCATTTAGATAGTTTTGGCGTTCTTTAGGCCTATTCAGATAAATTTCAATTAAGGGGGCACATATCTCTAGATATTAGTTATATAGTTTTTGTTTATTTGAGAACCCAAATCTTCCGATCTACGTGAAAAACCAGAGTGCCCAATATCGTTGCTCAAAGTTTTTTTTTTTTATTTTATATGGTTTGTTATAGTGTTTCAAAAATCGTGGGTGACCGCTTGAAACCTCGTATAACGATATGTGAGCACAAAAAAACTATTTGTACCCGTATTTTGTTAAAAAAATATTATTATTTTTTTTTACCGCTATACGTGGTTTTCATTCTTGGAAAATATAAACCTCGTATAACAATTTAAGATCTCCGGCCTACTGAACCAAAAACCAAAATATACAGTATACGAGGTTTTAAATCTGACTCTTTATATTTGTTATTTGATTAGTGCTTTTTGAGTAATTTACAAGCTAAGAATACGAGGATTTGATCACAAGATCCGTGCTTTTTCGAGCTTTCTAAAGGGTACCAAAAAGTTAAAATGACCAAATATGGCATATACGAGGTTTCAAGCAGTCACCCACGAAATGGCAAAATTATGATACGAGGAATTAGCCAATGGCAGCGTCTCATTTTGAACCAATCAGAGTGCAGCATAGATTATTTCGACCAATGAGTCACCATCATAGGCCTACATTATTGTTCCCCTTAGATATCCTTTATGACGTCATAACATTATTTACAGCCAGAGCAACAGCTATAGTAAAGTTTTTACTTATTGAAAGCTACGCTACGCTTCAAAATGGGAGCCAAATGTTCTTCGCCTTTGAAGAGGAAATGGTTTTCCAGAAAATCCGGTAATGTCAAGAGGAATTCAGTGGTGCCACTCCAAGTAAAATCAGCAGAAGATATTGATGGTCCAGTGAATCTATTGAGGACAAGAAGTCCAAAACTATGTCCAGAGCTAAGTGTACCTTCATCACCAAAAGATCTAGATGTACTTACAGTAAAGTCCAAAGATCTAGATCTAGCCGGCGGTGAATACAATGAAGATGATACTAGTAATGTAGAACATCCAGAAGTACATTATGAAGAAATAAAATATAGTGTACCAGCTGAAATCAAAACCCACTATTTTAATAGTTTTAGTCAAGAATGGTATGTTTACAAGAGAACACAACAAGTTCCTATCACAGAAATGAGGTGTGTTCAAGGCTAAGGTAAATTTTCAACTGTATTTCGGTTTTCATTTACAGGACGACGATTACTTAATATTCACTGGAGCATCTGATAAATGTAAATGAAATCCTTACGTTGAAAGAATAGCTTATCAGCTTACAGACAGATTCCATATAGTAATGTTGTGGTAGAGGGGGAAAAAAGGGGGGGGATTCAACTTTGATATTTTGGCAATGAAATTTAAAATGAATTGAACTATTTATTTCAGAAAACTGCTATGAGAGGTGGATTAAAGAATACTGGAATATTAAAGATATATTTTGTAACAGAACTCAGAAGTTTGTTAGTCTGTTCCAGAATAACAGCCACAAACAAAAATAGTTTTTGATGGAATTTTTACTCCTGTCATACCATGTTGTATAAATATACTCTTTAAATATTGCCAGTAAGAAACATAAACAACATAATATTCATCCCAGTGTTGTTATAAAAATTATAGTGATTATTATATTATATTATATTATATTATATTATATTATATTATATTATATTATATTATATTATATTATATTATATTATATTATATTATATTATATTATTCGCTCGTATTTTTATAATATAAGATCGTATTTTTTTCCTTCTATATTATGTTATATTTGAGTTATTTTGTATTATATTATATTTATTAATAAAATGTAGTTCTCATAAGATTTCCTTCGATTTTTGGGGGGCTTTAACGCAGATAATATTACTATTACATGAGAATGAACATCCAAATATTAGGTAATACATGTAACCTTTTGAAAGTGAAATCAAATAATGTTCAAGTTCACCCTAGGCCTTAAGTCCTGCTTGTGCTTTCGTAACTTTGTCATTAGTTCAAAGTTACAGCTTTTACTCCCTAGATCTTAAATACTCCCATGAAGTTTCATCGTATAGCTTTAATCGAGATGCTTCTGTATAGACCCAAACATCTGCCTCTATTCCAACCTCTCATAGCTGTTTTGACAGTTATCGGTTGAAAGATAGAAAAACTAGGCCCCGTTTTGCGGAAATATTCGCACCGGTCTTTTTTTTTATACGCCTACAAATATATTATGGGCGTATATTGTAATCCGTCGTATTGTCCGTCAGTCCGTTCACATTTGGCTCGTGCTCACTCTATAGGCTACAATTCTATACAGATTCTTTTGATTTTTTTTGTAGGTCAATGTCATTATGAAGATGATCCCTATTGATTTTCGTGATGATCTGATAATTTTTAACCGAAATATAATGTGCGACTTAGCGTTTTCACTCTGTTAACAGTATTGTGCAACTCGTGCTCACTCTACAGGTTACAATTCTATACAGATTCTTTTGTGTTTTATTTTGTAGGTCAATGCCATTATGAAGATGATCCATATCGATTTTCAGGATGATCTGATAACTTCCACCAAAATGTCGCTTTCAACTTAGTGTAACCACTATTAGCCATATAGTGCAACTTGTGCAAACTCTTCAAGCAACAATACTTTATGGATTCCTTTGATTTTTATATGCCCACATGTATTATATTGTCATCCGTCCGTCTGTTCACAATTGGCTCATGCTCACTGTACAGGCTGCTGTTGGGCCTTGCTTCGCAAGACTATCTTTTAAAAATATATTTATTTAAATCGGATCCGCCAAACCAAAATATATATTCGGAAAGATAGATATTTTTAGAGTTCAAGTCATACCACAATCCTACATCATTTATGTCGCGTCTGCGGTTCAACTTTTGTTTTAACGGAACTCATCTCTCACCGGACATTTAAGACTACGCGCGCAACCAATATTTCAAGGATCACAGGGTTACGTGATACTAATAAAAGGAACGTTTACAGTGATACCCAACACTAACTTACATCTAAAGCTAATTTTAAAAAAAAAATAACACTATCGGAGGATTGGAAAATCCTCATAGAACAGGGCCTATTTTTCTGACTCTACTCAATTCGACAACTGTCAAAATATCTATAGGATTAAGGGCTGGAATAGAGGCAGAGGATTGAACGACCAACCAACGGATGGAGAACAAGAGTGATGACAGTA